GGGGCCAAATCCTAGAGCTGCCCCAGCGGTGTGTTCATGAGGATTCATTCCTAACATCCTAAATTCACATACAGAGGGCTCCCAAGCAAGGGGTGTCTCTAAGATGTGAATTGTAGAACCCCAAATACTGCTTTGTGTCTGATGCTGATCCTCGCCCTATATATGCCACATAAAAATTCACTCATCCATGCGTCCTGAAGACTAAAGCGTGGAATTAGTAATAAAATTAACTCAAATTAATTCTTAGATTTCTCTAAAATAGTTTTCAAATAGATGAGGAAGGGGGCTGGGACAGTCCACCTGGCACATTGTCCTGAGCCTTCTGCTTACCTTCCACGTAACCGTGGGCAGGTTACTCAGCTTTTCCAGACTTGAGCGTCCAGGCCTGAAAATGGAGGGCAGGTGAACAGACTGTTAAGGTTACTCTGAGTTCTAATATTCAATGATGCCAAAAGCCATTCTGCCTTGCTAGGTTTGTTACTGGGGTTGGGCCTTTGGTGATAAATTCTCACTCTCCACGAGTGGCCGTTGGCACCCTGTGACCTGACATGGCAGAAGGAGCCCCGCGTGCCAGCACTGCTGACTGGCCTGCTGCCTGCCGGCTCAGGCACTGGAGGTCTGGCGCTGGGCGTCGAAGCAGCCGTCTCCTTCCTGACACAGCGCGGACTGGCCTTTGTTTTAATTGCCTCCATGTTTAATTGCTTTCTATATCATTTCGCTTGATATGGATGGATTTTTTTTTAATGAGCTAGGATGTTCTAATTGAACTTAAATGTGATTTCCTTGTAGCATTGTTTATTGGTGTGTAAACAGTCAGCAGATCCCAGAACCAGTTACAAACTATGCTGTGAAGCAATGAATGGTTTGAGTTTTTGAAGAGTTCAAGTTACTTGTAATTATTGTATGACTTCAGAAGTATAATTTTTCAACCTGAATGTATTAACCATTCTTTACAGTAATTGATATATAACTTTTGAAGATAGTAATGGATATATGAAATTATTGTCATTTTTTTCAGAACTTTTCGTTACTTAAATGTTACATGAATTTGCTTTGGCACTAAAATAAACAATTGAAAGTATTTAAGATAAAAAGTGAAAAATCTTTCTTAGTCTTCAAAATCCCACACCTTTTTCCAAAGATAATCTCTGTTACCCACTGGGTCTGGACCCATTCTAAACATTTCCCATGCATTTGCATGTGTATGCATGTGACTACAAAGTATCTCATTGGGTCATTGACTTGCATTGTTGTTCATAAACGGGGTTAACAGTCCGTGCTGCTCCCCACCATCTTTTATCACTTTGCTCTTGACCCTGTCCTGTCAAGGCATACACAGCAATCCTAGATTGTTTATTTATAATAATAGTCTAACCAGTTCACTGATGGCTTTTCAGTTTGATTATACACAATACTGCATTAAACGATTTGATACATGTATCTGTGCACACACATGACTGAACATATTTGGTGCATACCAGGAGCTGGAATTGTTAGGTTAGAGTGTGCACATTTTAAATTGTCATCCACACTGCCAAATTCTGTACAACAAGCTTGTTCCCTCTACAGCTGGCTGCACAAATCTGTGTAGAGTCCTGCCCATGGCCAGTCGCCACACCCACACCCAAGCTGCAACCTCCAGTGCCCTTTGCTCCATATCAGGATTCCTGCTAGCTCTTCCTAAAACTCCACAGTGGGAAGTGCAAGCTTTCTTTCCAGTGTTAGTTTCAAGAACCAGTGAGACGGTGGTCTTAGATACAGGTCCAAGCTTGGAAATACTTGGTAATCAGAGGATAGCTGGAGAATAGATCATGCATATGATGTTTTTATCTATAAAAGCTCCAAACTACAACTTGCATTTACTGGTGTCTTTTTACATTGTTGTTAACGTGCTGGAATCAGTGGTCTTTGCAGAGGGGTTGAGATTAAGGTCATATTCTGAGGAGCAATGTGGCACAGGCAATCCACAGGAAATACCGAGACTGAGAAGTCTACGGGAGGTAGAGTTGGACCTTCTTAATTGTCAAAAACACGTTCCAACAGTATAAGTGACAGAAGTCATTGGGTAAATATGTAAGGGGTTAGGTTAAAAACATATGCGAAGAGGTGCATAAGTATTTAAAAATGAAAAGAAGAGTGATTTTAAAATCTGCATACATTCATCTTCTGATTTGCTATTTTTTCTTCTTAAGACATCCTCATTCATTTACTTCTTTTATTATATATTTTCTCCTATCTACCTTATCATCTATATCTTTGGAGAAATGATCATTTTTCTTTTCTCTGAAAAACTGGAAGTGAACATGTTGTAAATTTCATAGCCAACTAGAAGCTGAATTATCCTCTCATGAGCATATTCTAAAACAAAGAATGTAAGCAAAGGAGTGGGTTTGCTAAAATATATTTCATTTGGCACAAAGGGAAACATAATCCCTCTACTGAAACAGGAAAAACTGATGGAGAACCTACTGCATATAAAACAATTTATTCATCTCAACTCAGTCTCTGGGCAATAGGACCTCACATCCTACTAGTAGGTATAGATGAGGCAGAAAAACAAGCACAATGGCAGCAGGCACATGTGCAACCGTGGTGAGGGCACACTGGGCCAGGACTGCACCCGGCCCTGGCTGCTGCAGCGCACTGTTCTCTTTCGACCACTATGCATCCCAGTTTGACCACTGAAGTGCACGGGAGACCCTTTAAAGAGCAGTTTTCCCGTTCAGACAGTATCAAGCCATGGGTCAGGAAAGCCAACAAAATCAGGTCAGGGTCCTTTGGATTCGTTCCTGGAGACTCCTCTCTATTCACTGAGAAGGGTTTACTTCTCGTCGTGCCATATGAGGAGTTGTCTGGCTCTATTGTTCAGTGTTGTAAGTCTAAGGAAGAGGCACTGTCAAAACACATCCCTCATTTTTTAACCAATCTCATGTAGAACTTTAGGAAGAGCAAAAAAAAGGCAAGAAACGTTTCTGCTGGTAGATAATCCCACAGCAGTGACTCAGATTGCCAAGAAGGCACATGTATGTGTCATTTAAGGACAACTTAGATAATCAGAAGGTCCCTTTGACATAAGGAACCTCAGGAAAGCAGTAGCTGCAGGGATGCGAATGTCCACAGCTCAATGTGCTGACAACTGCTGGGAGAGTCACGGGGAGCCCCCTCCTTCTGCTTGGGGGCCAACGGGGAGGGATGGGCGGGCGCCTCACAGGGCAAGAGGCGTGGAGCAGACTGATCCTGTTCCTGTCATCAGTGATGTCCTGCCGTAGAAGCACTTCGGGGCAGGAAGGCATGTGTAGAGCAATTCCTGGTGTCACTTAGTGGACACTCAAAGCTATAAAGGTGCACCTGCCACGTAAACAAACACAGAGATGAGATCTGAGTGAGTTCATGAAACAGGAAGAGCCCCCTTCCTATACAGATGGTTCACCGGCCAGGAGTTCATACCCAGTGCCATCAAGAGGCATTGGGGACTCTGGGTATTTTGGAACTAAAGGAAATGTCTTACCTTTTTAGCCCAACCTTATCATTGTCAGATGGTTGACATAAAAAATATGGCTATTTTTTGTTTAATATATTTAAAATACTACAAAATAACTCCAAACTGATGATTCTAGACTTTGACACACACTAAAAATATACTCCCTCTCATCCTATTTTCCAACCATGATTTTTCAGGGTAATTTTAAAACCTTTCTAGCTCCGTGTGCATATTTCCGAATTATTCCGTTCTTTATGTGTTTGTTTTGGTAAATTCTTATTAGGGAAAATAATAAAACTTGTTATGGTTGCATTTTATAGGCTGCCTGTGTATTTTATAGGAAATTGCGTGTTATCTTATTTCCAATCCTACTTGCTAAGCACCCTGAATATTTTCTTTATTGCGAGGTAACACACCAGAAGTGGGGGACAGTGTCTTTTAGAGGATTTACGGTAATGCTGCGGCATGTGGCTGCTCGTAAGCAGCACGGAGAGCCCTCAGGGTCTCTTCACTTGCCTGACACACTTCACTGCTGCCCATTAACACTTCCTCTGTTACTGCCATAGACTCAATTTAATGAGCGCCTCTGAATTTGGAGGTTTGCACCAGGAACAATGGCTTCAACAACTGAGGCACCCAGCTCTCTCCACTTTTTGATATTCTAGTTTATCTTTTTTAACAAAAATAAATTCTCTCTTTGACAGTATAGTTTGAAATAATCTGGGTATTCTCTTTTCAAATTACAACAGTCAATGGTTCTTAATCCGGAGACAATATTGCAGAAAACCTTGATAGAGAGTTAATACACAAATTGTAAATGTACGTTAAAGAAGATGACTTTTGTTGTTCTCCTACTAAAATAAAATTGAGCTATTTAGAAACACCCTTGTCACCAACAGACTATATTTGGTTATGAATGAAATCACATTATTTCCAAGAAATAGTTTCACATTGAAAATATTTCTCACTTACTAAATTGTTTCTTAATTGCATCAAAGTGTTAAAGAAGGCAATAATCTTTTTTTTATTGAGGTAACATTGGTTTATAACATTGTATAGATTTCAGGTGTACAATGTTATAATTGGACATCTGTGTATACTACAGCAGGCTCACCACCAAAAGTGTAGTGTCCATCTGTCACCATATAATTGACCCCCTTTATCCTTCCTGCCCTCCCCACACCCTCCTTCGGAAAGCAATAATCTTACAAATTAGCTAATAATTGGTCCATTTAAATATTCAGTGCACTTAGTTTTACCTTCAAACCTAGACATGTATTTAAAACTGTTCAATATCTTGGATTTCAGGGTAAATTAACTAAATATATAGAAGCATTTTCTACTTGTACACAATGGCCTTCCCATCAGTGTTTCTTAGTACCATCATTCACAGCTTTCTAAATGTATGGCTCCCTGTCCTTAAACGGAACTCTGATGTGAGCACACTAGCACAAAGGAGAGGCTCCTGTCGGCCTCTGCTCCCTTCAGTTAGTCATGTTGTTGTTGTTTTGTCCTTTAGAAAATGAACCTGAAGGAGAAGTGGTGAAATCACGTCCAGTGGCGACTCCGAACTCTGACTGACTGAGGGAGCCAAGTCGGACGCTGAGAGCAGCGGTCAGAGGACTGACTTCAGGTACCGGCCTCAACCCTACTCTAGGGACTGTGGACATGTATCCTCTCCCTTGTGCCCCACCCGCTTTGTGCTCAAAGTCACTTCCCTCCTCTCAGCTTCCTGGTACTTCCTGACTTCTGGGAGGCAGTTAAAAGTTCGCTTGTGCGTGGTTTCCAAACAGACAGTTTGTGCTAAAAAGAGCCATTTGCAGTCAAATTAGATGATGCATATTTTGTTTTTGCTACTAAAACCCTATAGGGCAGGAAAGACAGGTGTCTCCTTGTGGGCGCTGTGCGGTGTCCTCAGGATGGTCAGTGGGGAGGAAATGATACCAGGATGCTCAAATGCAAATGTTTCATTTTGAATTGTTGCAAACAAAATCCACACTTGCTGCAGAAGTAACTGATTAGTAAGGTCTAGTCATTGTGATTCAGAGATGGGGTAAGTGCTTGGTACACAACCAAGTGGTTGCTGCCCAGGCAGCTCGTGTTTTTAGGGACTCTCCTAGGCTGGAGGTCAACAGGATTGGAATGTGACTAAACCTCCCCTCTGCAGTCTCGGCTTCTGAATGTGCGCACACAGCTGATCTCAGAGGCTCTAGTGTGATGGTCTCAAGACCCACAGTCAGGACTGCATTTCACACATGTTACTTTGCTGGAGAAAAATAAGAAGAATCTGGTGAAACAGTAATTTCTTAGGATGCTCTGTGAGGAAAACGGGCTTCCCTGTTAAGGTTCACTGTGCAACAGTAATTTATTTGTCTGCTGACTCCCTCAACTGCCTGTCTGATAATAGAACTGCTTACTGCTATGTGGAAACGCAAGGCTGGGATTGTCTTCCATGTGCCGCGACCTTGTGGGTGCTGCTGTCTTTAAGAGCTTTATGAACTGGTATAATAGGTCACAGTTGTTCTAATTATTTTCTCGTCTCTACCCTATTCACTTTCCCTCATTGGTTCGGTTTTGGGGAGGCATTATGTTTAATTATCATTTCCCCGGAGTTGAAAAAAAAACTATTCACATTGAGTGTTAAACTCATACTTGACTTTAAAGTCAGTTAAAATTTCTGAATTGTAGGTGTTTCATACATGTAGGCTATCTCGTTTCATCTGGTCTCATCGAGTTTTAGTCATAAGTTAAAGAATGTTTAATGGAATATTATATATGGGTCTGCTTTATAAATTTACCAAACTCGCATTTCTGGCATGGAGTTAAATGTCCACATTGAAAGGATGATTATCGACGTCGCGTACTACAAAACATTGAAATACAAATCTCACCATGAAATAAACAAAATGAAAAAGAATAACCTAGTTTTCAAAGAGAAATCTGTGTTTACACTGGACAAACTTGGCCTTGAATAGGCTTATCAGCTTAACAGAAGAATACCATTTGATTTTGAGACGTGTTTCCAGGTTCAAGGTGGGTAGAACAAGTTGAAATTGTTCAAAGAGGATATAGACATTCCAAGGTTCCAGCAGACCCGAATCCCCTGTTCCGTGCTTTTAGCCACCAACCGGTCCGTTCTCTTGCTGTGTGTCTGTCTTGATCACCCCCAGCTGGCCCTGGAGTTGGTACACTCTTCTGAGTGAAAGAAGAGCTTCACGGGGCCCTGAAAATCCCTGGGGGCCTCCAGACCAGTCAGATGGTAGTGATAATAGCAAGAGCACAACCAATATTACCATGATTCACTTGCAACGTTTCATGGGTGTAACTTCACGCGGTCTTCACTGCGTCACCGCTGTCCCTCACTTGCTGTGCTGTGGTGATGATGCTCATGAAGACCAACATGAGATGGCTGCACAAAGGGCAAAGGAGGCTCCCAGGTACCCTCTGTGATTTCTGGATATCTTTTATCCATTCTCTCATCCTTTAAAGACTAGTGTCTGGCCCTCAGGGAATAATCAATATATATTTGTGGTATGTATGTCATAAATACTTTAGTCCCTGGGTGATGAAATAAAACAGTAGGTTGAAAAACACAGATTAGCATACCAAAATGGGATTCCTGATGAGTTATAACAATAGCTTCTGGGAACGAAGCATAAATCTTCACATGATCGTCTACAAAATGAAGATGTGCGAACCATCAGATGGCATAGATCATCGGGGGTAAATTTTTTCTGTACAGGGTCAGATAGTAAACATTTTGGACTTTGTGGGCCATTTGGTCTCAGAAACAAGTACTCAACACTGCCATTGTTGTGGGAAAGCAGGCACAGACACTATGTAAACATATGGCCATGGCCGTGTACCAATAAAACTTTATTGACAAAATCAGCAGCAAGTGGATTTGGCCCTGGGGCAGTAGTTTGTTAGCCCACGGTAAATAACTAAATTAGCAGTTCCTAAGTAACTGCAGTCATTTCAGGAAAATAGAATATAACTCTCACTCTCTTCTCAAATTTTATTACTTGGAAAATCACACAACAGAGTCTCAAATCATTGTCCATAGGCAGGTCGCTCCACAGACAAGCCCTTTGCTGGTGTGCGAGCTGAGTGGTCAGGATCCAGCTGAGAGAGAAGCTGCACAGAGCCGGCAAGAGGCCAGAGAGAAGAGATTGGTTATATTGTGGAAGTGAGAGCAGAACCCAGAAAACCAGTAAGATTTAAAGAGGAGAAAATGTTCTAGTATTTTCATCCCTATATCAATCTGCCTGCCAAGAAATTTCCTGAAATCATCCGGAAAACTGCATGATATGAAATCAAATTAAAACCAACACCCAGGGGTATGGTCCCACCTGGACACACAAGGAGTTATGTGTGTCAAACCCCAATGCCAAAAGAGACATACTCCATAGGGCAGTCAGCGACGCTGGTGCGAGTAACCACGTCGCAGTGCAGGCCCGAGCGACAGCACAGGGCAAAACCACACAATCTGGTAAAACGCGGCCCATTCAGTCTGTTGTCCCAAAACTCTGTAACTCCAAAACAAAAATATAGGAAATAAGACACCAAATACAAAAGAGAATTTTTTCAAATTGCAATAGATTATATATGAGAAGCGTGAGAAAGGGGTTAGTCTGGGAAAATACTTATGATGTCATAGATTATTTTTTAAAAGAGATTTTATAAATGTCTCAACCTTTTCCTCTTATTGGGGATGTGAGCTAGTAGGATAAATCGTTTATTTAAAATGCAGAACATTAATCGATATTTTCCACTGAAATGATTTGCTAGAATGCATGTATCTTTAAAGCAGTACTTTGGCAGTTAATAAATTATTTCAGAATAGAAGAAAATGAGGGGTAGAAAAATGGTAGAAACACAACCTACAGACATGTGTGCCTGCTAATCAGTTCAGGAAAGAAAGGTCCCCAGTCCCACAAGCAGTTTAGTGTCAAGCAGAAATCTGGGTAAAAAGCTGGAGGCAGCCAGACCAGGGAACAAATCCTAATTCTTCTAAACTGTCTGTGTCCCTTTGGAGAAGTTATTTGACTCCTTGAAGCTGAACCTCAGTTTCCACATCAGTTACATGGGAACGATAATTTCTTCTAACAGGACTGCTATAAGGATTAAATGAATGTAGTCCTTGAAACACAGGAGATACTTTAACGTGTTGATCAGCTGTGCTGTTTTTGAAGTGGGCAGTAAATTGCCTTTGAGTATCAGACACAGGTGCCCCGACTCCCTTCCAGATTGCAGCTTCCTGAGGAGCAGCATTGCCAACTGGATCCCCTGGGGGTCAGCATTAGAAAGGCTTAAGGTGGATCCAGCCTCCCTGATTTCTTGGAAGAAGCAGCTCCTGGAAAAGGGAGAGTTGCCAGCAGGCCACAGATCCCTGAACAATCTAGAAACATCGCTTCTGGATTTGAAGTAAAACACTCCGAGGTCCTTCCCTCTCCATCTCAGCATCTTTATCCAAAACTTTTCAGTTTCAGCTCGGCATTCAGAGAGCTTGAGGCTTCTGATGATAGAGAAATCTGTATGCCCAACTTTTAGCACAGTGCTGGCTGTGTCATCGGGCAGCCGATGTCGGTCTCATCAATGGGTGAATAAATGCTTGTGCCGCATGAAGACGTGTCATTATGTGTTTGCCATTTATAAGGAGCTCATATGGAACGACTTCTGATAAATGCTAAGTGTGGAAAGCAGGGTACAGAGCCGTCTGTATGGTGTCCCGAAGTTTATGTAACAAAGCATGGGGATTTTCTTTACTGGGAGGGTCAAAGTTAGCAGGAAGATTTACTTTTCACTTTATGCCATCATTTTCCATTTAACTTCCTGGCATGTGCATCTATTTCTATTTTAAACGAAGTTCAATGCATTCCCTCATACACCATCTTTGGCCTTTTCCATCAAACAACCTGCTTCCGTGTCTTCTTCTTGAACACCCTTCTTTACTTTTCTGCAAAGGTCCATAGTCATAAATCTACACACATTAATCCCATGAGTTGAGGTCTTCTATTTTCTTAAGTGTTTCTTACAGGTACAAGTGAAGGGAGTATAGTTAATGTATCTAAAGGAAATAAATGCCTATTTTTTAAATAAAATGGATAGCTGAATAAATTATTGCAAATACCATCCATATACATAAATGTATAATTTTTTGCATTTATGTAACACATTTTTGAGTCAACTACTACATGCCAGACAGCATAGATACAAATATGGAATTACAGAATTCTGCCACAAAGCTGTTCATGTTTAACTATTTCATGGCGGGGGGCACACATACCCAAAAAAACCCTGAAAACTACCCACACGCTGTGAAAAGAGCTATAAAAGTGTTATGGATAAAGTAATAAAGTATAATGCAGGCAATGCAGCCCCACAAGTGGGAGAAGCCAAGTGCCCCTGGAGAAGGCACGTAGGGTCCTAGAGATTTCAGGCCTGGGCCGCACTCCAAGGGTGCCTCCCGCTTTTCAGACAGACATAGATATGTCAGACATCCCCCCAGCACCTTCAAGGACCCAGAGGTTTGAGAGTGGCAGCAGGAGAGGACATGAGTGCTGGGAGCTCAGGCTAAGCTCTGTAGACAGCGAGGGTCCCCGGGCGAGTGCAAGCCAGGGGAGACAACGC